CACCCCTCCAGGTCTCCCTGCTGCCCCAGGAGCTCACGTCTCAGTCCTGGTCCTTCTAGGAAAGGTCCGTAAGACCAATCTCCTTTTGGTGCTATGATTTCTTGGTGGACGTCTACATTAATTTATCTGTGGGCTTTACGCGTTTGTGTTGGTTATCGGTCGTGCGTGCAGTGTCACTTCTGCAAGTGACGCAGGTGAAGGTACCACAAAACCTGAGCAACCTGATGTAGTTGAAGATGTCCCTGCCCGCAGCGAGGGGGGGGTTGGACTAGGTGACCTTTAAAGGTCCCTTCCAACCCAAACCATCCTGTGATTCTATGAAAATTTGGAGACTTTTGTTAGCGGTTCAGGGTAGATGATGCCACGGTGAGTATTGCGTCAGGGTTGATGTTCGGTGGGAAATCCAGCCCCAGGGATCACAGAGGAATGAGGGAGAGGAGGGGGTGTGACGATGAGAAGTTTAGGAAGAGCATGAGAAGATGCTTTGCATCAAAGCTGTTCCTTAAAAAAGAAAAAAAATTAAAAAAAAAAACAACGTAGTTTGAAACACTTCCACAGTTGGATAATTTAATTTGCATCTAATCCTAATATCGTCGAGGAAAGATCCAATTACAGGCATTTAAAAACCTAATCAGGAACGCAGTTGTATTCCCATTTTCAGCGACGAGTTATCATTGCAGATATCAGTGACAACTTAGATAGCTCTTGACTTGATCAGATGGGAGTAGTCCCGGCGGGTGAGATAGCTCAGTGTGTGCTAAACTTGCTGTTTTCTTTAGCGGTCGGTTGATTACAGGAAGACCTTTAGCTATGTCAAAACAAAACAAAGCAAAACAAAAGATCCCCAGCCCACCTCCCCTCGACGTTCACAAACTTGGCACCGGGACGAGGCTGAGATCCAAAAGCCGGCCAGGAGCTGCGATGGGGTTTGGGGTTTTGGGTTTTTTTTTTTTAATTCAGTTTTGCTGAAATGTTTCGGTTCTTCCTGAATGAAAAAAGAACTTTTTCTTCCCAAACTCCTAATAAAACTGCCAGAGCGCGGAAAGAAAAAGTACAGATGACATGGTTTCATCATCTTAAAAGTGTTCGTGTGTCGAGGAGAAAAGCCGCACCAGAAATTTTCTGCCACTTCCAAGCGATGCGAGATGCGAGTCCTCCTGCCACAGCGTGGGAGAACCAAGCGTGGGGCCTTTACTGATAAATTCGGGTGTTTCCATGGTGTGAATCTCCCATACCCGCCTTCATCTGGACCTCCTTGGTTTCAGCAGCTTTTAAATTTTTGGGGTTATTGCTCCGGTGTCCCATCCTCCAGGATTTCTGTATGGATGTGGCATTTTCTGCAGCATCCCTCCCCGGAGCAGGATGATGCCCCGAGCCCACAGGCAGCGCGTGCACACCCGAAGCTAGAGAAATTCTGGCTGTGGCCTTTTATTGAGCAATTTTGGGCAGGACTTGATGTTCGCGAGGGTCAAGGCAAGTGGTGGGAAACCTCGCAGCCTCTCAGGCTGGTTGGTGTGTTGGGAAGTAGCTGGGATGATGCTTTTGTGGAGGACACTCCTTCCTCTCGAAGGGATGCGCTGGTAAAAGGGCAGCCCCTCAGGAGGGTGTAAAAAAACGTGGGAAAAAATCATTTTTTCGATGGGAATGTGATGTTGAATAATGTTGTGCTGGGGCACCGCCGTCTTCGTCACCATCCACACCAAACTTCGTTACCCCAAAGACTTGGGGTATCAAACTATTGCCTTAATGTCTCCCCTTCATGCAGAAATGTGCTCTGCTTCGGATGGCCGTTCTCCGTAGACCCAACTCTAAGCGATCAATACGACTAATTCTCTAAATTCCTGAGGGCAGACTCGCTTTATTATTTATATATCTATTTTTTCCACAATAAGCTTGCATAATGCGCTGGGGGGAGCCTGACGGAGCCCCTAGGCAGGCTGTAATGCAAACCATGGAAAATAATAATAAACCAGTGATAGCAGCAAATGGAGGGATGCTTAATAACGAAATAATAGCGCGGATGTTTATAGCATTAAACATTATCATTGTTTGCTGGAATATGGGAACGCTCCCAGTTTGCTGGGAGTTTTCCAGGCATTTAGAAAGGGTTGTGTTTGCTCCGAGGAGCTCGTAAAAACGTTGCTTTTAACTCAAAACAAGAACCCCAATGTGTTTCTCAGCTGTTCCTGGGCTGTCGCACACGAGGACACGCTGAGGGTGATGTGGCTGCGAATTTCCGGGGATCTGGGTTTTTGTGTGGGTTTGCGGCAGGCGGAGACGGGAGTTGGATGGTGGGTCCAGGTGAACCCGGCGGGGCGTTTTGGGGCAAAATCCACCTATGTGCTTCATTTGCCCAGACCCATGGTCTTTGCCACCAAAAAAGCCTTTCGGGGAAAAAATCTCCGTCCCCGTAGGAAGTATCTCTGCGTCATTTTTTCCTCCTCTCCTGCAACCTCCTCTCCTGCCTCCGCCGCCCGAGTGACTGCACCGGCTTTTCCCACCCCTTTTCCCGGCGGATGCCAGAATCAGGGAGGCGGGTGGGAGCGGGGCGGCTCCGCCGGGGTCCCAACAACCGTGAAAAGCCGCTTTGGTGGCGGCTGGCAGGGAGGCCTGGTCCTGTTTATCCGAGCTCAACCCTTATATTCTCATGGCTTTTTGACTAGACTTCCAGTCAACAGCCGAATCCCGCAAACGGAAGAGGCTCTGGCATATTTATACTGTGTGCTGGCATTGGCTCCTTAAAAAAAAAAATATCCCGGATTACCTAAGACTTGTCCTTGAGGTCTGGTCACCCCATGTCATTGAAAAACCTAGTGGGATTCATTCATGAACTTCCAGCCCTCCATAAAGGTCTGTTCATTCATAGCCAAGGCAGTTTTCTTTTTTTCGGGGGGGGGGGGGATATTTTTTTTTTTAAGGGTTTTTTTTTTTTTTTTAATGCGCTGGCAATTAAATAACTCTTTGTAAGCGGCAATGAGCTACTTGTTAAGTGGTCTTCACTAATGCAAGCATAAAAATCAGGTGAAAAAGTCTTTTTTTTCCCTCCGCCTCCTCCTGAAAGGGATGCTTTTATGGTCAACTAAATAAAAACCTATAGGAATTTCAGCGGGGTTCAATGACTGGTGCTCCAACATTCCCTCAACTGCTGTAAAACAAAACCCAAGAAGCTCTGAGCATCGCTGGCAGGCAGTCGGCAGGGAGGGTGCAGCGGAGGGGGGGCGATGGGTGGTCGAGGTGGGGATGGATCCAGGAGCATCATCCCCCTGGATCCAGGAGCATCACCCTCC